CACCCTGTACGCCCTATGCTAGAGAACATAGATACTGCACCCACCTGTAGTGTCTAAGTGTTTTCAATCACCAAATGTGTTTTGTATTTTGAATAGATGTGTTTTCCCAATGTTACCCATGAGATTTCATTTATGAATGAAGTGTCTTATGTATGAAATAGTGTGTAGTGTGCAGGAGCAAGTGTGTTGCAGAATTGCAACTGAAGTGCAAAGCAGCACTTTTGTTTAAGGTATGGTTACACTGTGTTTAAGGTATAGTAACAAAAGCTTCAAGTTTTGTTACTTTGGTCTAAGCATGTGTCTCTAGTGTTTAAGCAATAGGCAAAAACTTTAATAATATTTAAGTGTAACACTTTATTCAAGAGAAAGGAGTCTGATTTGCAAGGAATATCAGAAAGCCAAGTCCTGACTGTGGCGAAAGGAGGAGCTGGGGATGGAGGAGGGTAATTTGCTCCTGAGCAAGCTAAAAAGCTGCAGAATAATACTGAATAGAGCTTATATTGGAATGGCGCGATAGATGTTGTATTCCTATAGGTAGATGTGATCAGCTGAGAATCAGCTGATGCAAGCTTGACTCACATGACCTGCCAGAACTAACGCTAATGCTTAATTGACTAAACACAACACATGAGGAAAGTACTGCACATCCATGAAAATATTTATTTCTCACCATATTGTAAAATCCTTCAGTACATCATTGCAATTAGGCTGCATTTTGCACTAAAAATCAGAACATATTCCAAATACAATATACAGTAGTACATAAACTTTTGTGGAGATGAGAAAAAAACACCTTTGCACGATCTCTTCGTCTAGCTGGATATGGCCAATTCATCCATATCACAGTCAATGTCCTCCCTCACAGGACAGCGAGGGAAGAATCTTCATGAATGGTGAACCCATCCTTACAAAGACTCTGCATCTATTAGGTCACAGGCCTCCTCCATAGCTTGAACATAGGGTCGGAGATCATATACCTTCCACTGCCATGCAGAAGGGGGAAAGGAAAGGAAGGGAGTGTGTTGTGGGAGGTACTGGAATAATGGCACAAGATACTTAGTCTGTACAATACTTAAAAACGTGAGTATGTGGTCGATGTTGTAAGGACCTATTTTGGCATGGAGAACCCCATTCTGCATGATTGCAGCATATATTGTGATGTTACCACCACATTGACCCGGGACATTCAAAAGAGCTCTGTGGGCAAAGATGTTTCTCCCTATTCCTCTTCCTGAACCACCGCCTTTCATTTCTGTTGAATACAAAAATTCACCTGTTGCCTTTTTATAGTGCTTACACCTTGATTGTCGAGTTTACAGTTAAGCACCTAAGTGTCTGCACACCTGATGGCCGTGTTTGATCAATTAGTTCATATGTGTAGTATTTTGGAAAGCAGTGCCTTAAAATGGCAAAGAAGTGATGTTAGATTTCTGTGTCTAATGTAGAGAAGTGTGTTTAGTATCTTGCAATTGTGTGTAACGTTTTGCAAAAAGTGGGAGGCTGAAAATGTGCTTATAGTTGTGCAGATTTGGGCTGAGGTTTTGCTCTTTGAGTGTAAGGTTTCACTAACTGTGTGCTATTTTTTATTTTAGTGTGTAAGCAATCATAAAAAAACTGTAAGAACAAACAAGGCTGTGCAAATGTTTATAATGTAGTGTACAAAGTGATGTAATGTATTTGCACCCTGTACGCCCTATGCTAGAGAACATAGATACTGCACCCACCTGTACGTTCTTCTTCTTCTTGTTTTTAAATATTGTCCTTTAAACATGACATGAGCAGCAGTATTTAACATTTTATTCTCATTTACATTTAGAGTGTTAGCTCAATTACTGTGAACCAAAGACAAGGTTCTAGGTAGAGTTGAGTGTTCAAGATGTTGAGTTGTCATCAAGATTAACAAAAGACACTCTACCTTTTTAAAATACCCTTTCAAGAAGTCCTAAAGATCAAAACGTTTATTAAGATCTACATCATCATTGATGTATTATAAGACCAAGGTGCCTGGCTGTAACGGAAATCACAGAGTTGCTCTATTATCACTGAGCCTCTGAGAAAAACTCCTAAAACCAGGGCTTCAGATATAATTGTGATAAAAAGCATCTGTCAAAATGTGCTGTAGTCCAGTGGTTAAAGATCTGAATGACTGTAGGTTCAATGCCACCAAGTGCGGATTCATGAACTACCACTATTGTGCCCTTCAGAACTTAATGGTAGATTGAAGTATGCTGTAATCTTCTTCATCATCTTTTGGCTAAGATCTCAAACATCTTTGTTCCTTCAGTCCTCAGGTCTGGAACAGAAGATATAGAAACCTGTGAATATTGTTCATATTGCAATAACACACAATTTCCTGTTTTAAATAATCAGTTGAGTTTAAAGATTGTTTTCTGATGATAAACAGGAAATTTGTGTTCACAGTCTGGTTGGACCATGTTCTGATGACAGTACATATCGGACTGAATTGTAAACTGTTGGCAGTGCAGCAGAGTCGGGTACAATCACAGTATTTTGTACAATCACACTAGATCTGGTTCTGTCATAAAACTGAATGTCATGGGACCGAGACAGAGATTAGAACCTACACTCTTAAAAATAAAGGTGCTTCAAAAGGTTCTTCAGATGTTAAAGGTTCTTTATGAAACCATTTAGACAAAAAGGTTCTTCTATGGCATCGTGAAGCACCTTTATTTTTAAGAGTGTATATGGCACATTTGTTTCACATCCATGTGAACACATTTCATCCTTTCATCATGTTGAGATGAAAATGTTTTTAACCTCTGGATAAGTCGTTTCCGATGATCTGCAGCAATCACAGCATCTACAGTTGGTGGTTGAAGAGACAATTGCAGAGAGGATGCATATAAGAATATCACAGGCCACAAGGACCATCGCAGCCCAAAGAGGCTGAAGAAACTGTCAGAAAATGCACATGGTTAATATAAACATAATGGACAGTTTAGTTTTGAATGGCATAATTAGGTGAAACCAACTGCAAATTGACCATATTGATGTTATGCAACATGAATACAAATGTTACACATTTTAAAGCATGAAATATACAGTATATAATCGCTGACCTTGCGTTCAGCAGTATGAATAAAAATGACAATTTTTTATTACCCCCAAACACTTTGGCTTGATCTCCAGAAATTCAGACTTCCCTTTTAGGTGCCATCCTGCCATCTTTAAACACTCTAATAGACAAGTGAAGATACAATATGTTAATACAATGCATTCTTTACGTTCTCATTCCTGTCAGACAAAGGTTTGCCAGGAACCAAGTGTCACTGTTTACTTTCATTCTTAGCTGACACGTGAGAAGGCAATCAAACAGCGTGGAGTGAATAAATAGTTGATTTATTTGGTTGTAATAAAAAAAGAAAGAATTCACAGTACAGGCTATAGTTTGGGTACAATAATGGCATTACTTTATAGTTTTGCAAAGATTAATAATCATTATCATGCGATGCTGCTATATTCACTTTTTAATTTTTTTTTTACCTTTTTACCCAACTTATTTCTATACAGTCACCAAAGAGATAGTGGTTCCAGCAACACAATGATCAAATAAAGATTTTTAAACTCTTTTTAAATAAAGCTTGTATTGATATTTTGTATTCCACCAAATGTACAATATGTAATCTTCCTCCAACTTCCAGTCTATTAGCAGCAGATCTGTTTTACAATCTGAGGAAAATATGCAATCTGAGGAAAATAATCACCTTGATGCTGCTCATCTTAGGTCTTGCCGTTTTTGTTTTCTCTTTCTTTTTCAGTTGTAATTTAGGTAGTTGTTTCAGGCACACTACAGAAGTCTGGGCTGCGTGACCTGTACAGTATGCAGAAATATATATTTTTACTTATAATGCTCGTTGCAGTTGCTCTTGATAAAATGCAATGAAATACCAAATATTTGAATGAGCTGGCAGAGACTATTTTTGATGTTTTATGTTGCACCTAAAAAAGCACCTACGATGGAAGATACATATAGACCGACCGTGAGCAACTAATTTATGTTCATATTTTAGCTGGGTTCTTGATGATCTTCTGTTCTTCGGTCCTCAGGTCTGGAACAGAAGGTATAGATGACAATAGATCAATATTGTATCAAATTTTCTTGTTTTAGAATATTATTTTATTTTAAAGATAATTCTCTAATGACTGTGATTTTATCACTAGTTTTAGTATAAACAAACCATAATTTCTTCATACAACAAATTAGCTCAATTACCGTCTGGTACAGGCTGTTGTCAGCCACAGAGATATCAATCACAAAAGAAACCAACTGTCACTGTTTACACTGGAGCTGAGATCTGGATTTCTACAGTTGCTTAGGTCCTACATGGAAAACTCTCTCTCTCTCTCTATATATATATATTTATTTAATTGTAAATAGGGACGCTACTATTTTCTAATACAAAGCTTGGAAAGATCATGTTTGTTTGATCTGCCAGTCACAAAGATCTAAAGGTCTAAACTAAGATTGAATTGGTAATTTTTATTCCACAAAATGCACAATATAGTATTTTCCTCTAATTTTGTGTCCATTCAGATAAGCAGTAGGACCATATAAAAAATGTGTCCAACAACCTGTTCTGATTAATGTCATAAAATAGCAAACACATGAATGAGCTGGCAGAGAATTTTGATAATGTTTTATGATGAATAATGTCAGCTTATATTTACACACATCCACCTGGTAATTACAGTAAAATAATGGGTTTAACATTACAATATTAAATACAATATAATCTCTAATGTTAGTATCTGTGACGTGTCGGTTATAACAGAATTTCTAACTCTTGTGAAAACAATGAAAAAATACAGTTGTGCACTTATAAAGGAAGCTTATGAGTTATCACAAATAAATGCTGAAATATGAAATTGTCACACTGTTTTAAAAGTGTATCTTTGGATATTATAAATTATATTCAGAAAGTAAATAAGGAGCTCCAAAAATGCTCTGTTGTAAAAATGCAACTGATTTCTTTAAGGGGCTAGAAATTGCCTCTAAAATAGTTCACTGAAGGTGCGGAAGGACATGGATTGTAGCTTGGTGGAGGTTCAGAAAGACCTGGTTCATAACTTAGTGGATGTGCAGAAGAACTTGGATCATAGTTTGGTGGAGGTGCAGAAGGATACTGATTGCATTTTGGTGAAGGTGCAGAACAACTTGGATCGTCATTTGGAGGTGTTGCTAAAGGACTTGGGTTGTAGTTTGCTAGAGGTGCAGAACGATACAGATCGTATTTCGGTGGAGGTTCTAAAGGACTTGGGTCATAGTTTGGCGGAGGTGCAAAAGGGCCTTGTTGGCCTTGAAGCACAATATTGTTTTCAGTCCTGTAAGGCACATCTCTGTTTATGTAACTGACTGCAACATGCCTTGACTGAGAGAGAGAAAGAGAGAGACTGAGAACACAACAAAAATAGAACATACATTATTGTGTTGCATTCATTATTGCATGTAAATCTAAAGGGGATGTTGTGACACCTAGCGCCAGTTAATTAACCAATCAGACTGGATATGCAGATGAGGTTGTTTGTGTCAAAATGCAGTTAAATAATCATAAGAATAAGTGGATCTTTCTGTTTCCATGAAAGTACTAATATGTAAATCTAATATACATTTCTTTTAAAAATATTCTGCATTTCCACATTTAGAAATAAATGATTCTAAATTATAATTGTGGTTAACTTGATATATACAGTAATTCATTTAGAAAGAAAAACCTTTTATATCATTGTCATTTGAATCAGTATAAAACAATCATTAAATGTAACTCTTTTTATCTCAGACTGCTTTTTGTGAGTTTTTATGAGTATTTGTGAGCTTGAACAGATCTCTTTCAAAAGAAGACCCAAGGCTGACATTGCTGACATTTCAAAAGTACATTTTTCAGTTTAAAGATAAAAGATTTTTGAACTTCATCTTTTTACCTTCATCCTGCAGCAGTCACAGGAAGACGAGGCAAAAATAACAGAGATGATGAAGACCAGAACATCACAGAAAACCAAGAGAATTAGAGTCACACCCTGAGTGAGTATACAGACAGGACGATTACAAACTAAAATGCATTTTATTATTACTTATAAATATGTCTCTTTAAGAAACTGTCAGAAATGGCACATGATTGATATAAATGTTATAAAGGTCTAGTGTAGAGCTTAAATAGGCTACAATTAAAACAACATTGATAATATTGATATTAGCTCTTTGTCTGGTAAATAAACAGTCTGGTTAGATTGTAAGTTGTTTTAATTTTGTAAGAATGAAAGCATGAATATCTATTCAGACACTTACATCACTGTCAAGACAGTGAAATGGGATGGAGACAGCAGCTGCTATGGCATTGAAACAGTTTAGAAATTGTGAGATTCTGACCTGAAATGGGGAAAATGGAAAAAGTGTAATGCATTGTAGTCTAATGAAATGTTAAATAATTTTTATTACATATTCAGACTAACCCAACATGTGTTACGTGTACATGCAGCTGACAACGTCACAGATCCAGTTAAAATCGACTACAGTGAAAATAATGAATATTGTTCAGTATACGTTCATTGCACAATGTTGTTATAGTGTTTAAATAAAATGCTTACAATTAAACATGACCAGACGAGATATAAAAATCCTGTCCAGATTGTTAAGATTAACATCGCTATACCTATTGATATTTCCAAAACCTGTAAGATATAAAACAAGACAGTATCTGTTTCTTCATTTCCCCTCAAATATAAATGGAACAGTTTGTTTTACCCACAGAATCTTTGGCCTGATCTTCAGGAATTTAGACACTGCATGCTGGTCAAAAGATGATGCTGACTGCTGCAAAAAGCTGGTTACATCTTCATGTCTAGGCATCTTTAAATACACTGAGAGAAATATGCGTCGACATGGAAATTGTAAGAAACTTAAGTTCCGAATCTGATGCACTTATTGTTTTCGGTTTCAAACGAATGTACTTTGCAAATATACTAATATCAGTTCTAATTTATTGACCTTACAGAAGTTAAAAGCATGCTTTTCTCTTTACTGTCAACCAAGAGGAAGAGGAACCAAATGTCACTGTGCACATTCCCAAAGCTGAAAATCAGGATTTACTAGAAGAGTTGCTCAGACGACACATCACAAAGTAATCAAACAGTGTTGGCAAAGACAGCTGATTTAGATTTCATTTGAAGATCTTTTTTTCAACAGAACTTAAAAGTGCAACTTCAAGATAATGGCACAGGAGACGTCACTATTTTCTGGTGGTCCATACAGAGTTTGGAAAGAACATGTTCACTTGATCCTGCCGGTCACAACACGTAAGATCTGCATGAACTTACAAATTTCCAACTACACAGTATATTTTTTGCAATAACCACAGTGAGTACACAATGAACAAATAAAAAGGATTTATGTAAACTGGTATTTTGTTGTAGCTGCTTATTCCAGGTTTTACTTAACCCACAAACACAGAGAGCTGGATGATAAATGTGCAGAATACTTACACTAAGTATAATTTTTTCAGCCGCCAACTTAAAATCCATTCAGATTAGTAGTATGTGTTAGTAGTATTTTCATTTTGTTTTTCCTAGTAAGAAGTCGTCTTTCTGGCTCACAAGCAATGTCTCCACCTCCGCAAAATATGAAGAGAATTATTCTTAAACGTCACACTGATGTAAACACTGGGTGAATTCTGGTTATACAGATAGGATTTTAAAGGATAGGAACAAAAACGTCCGAAATATTGGACGTTTTTTTTAAGAGACTTGCTGATGTTGGGGCATTTTGAGTCAAAAGGGTCAACTCAAAAAAGTTAGTATGGCATATTATGCAATCAAGGAAGCAAATTATCACTTGTATCGCTGTCCAACTATGGTGTCAGAATGGCGAGGTGGTTAAGGTGCCAGACTTAACATCTTATGTTGAGATTTCTGGAGATGGGTTCAAATCAATTCCCACTTCTGACAAGTGTTTTGGATTGACAGGACTAGAGGTCCCAGCTTCAGTATCAGAATAAGGGATTAATAAACAAGTAAGTGATAAATGAGTGATTCAATATAAAAATGTAAATGCAGTTTTAAACATCAAGAATAGTTTGCTTGTTAAAATACAATACAGGGAACCTAATTTAAATGTCTTTACTTATATTATAATAATCATCATATATAATTAAATAGTTAAATGTTGGAATAAAAACACAGAATAATGTCATGTGAAATTATGTTAAAAAATACCTTCATCCAACTACTGTAGCCCAGATGAAAGGAAAATATATGCAGAGAACTTCTCAACCACTAGGAGGAGATGCAGTGCAAGGATAGAATTTGTCCAGCAATTAGCATTATTGTGTTCTCAGCTTGGCATCGGTTACCTGAAGTATCTGGTGAAAAACGAATAATAATTAAAATAATTAAATAAACAATCCAGTCGATATCAGCCATAATGTGAAACAAAGAAATTAAAATTTTATTTAAAAGATAAAAATATTTAAAAAGTACAATCTGTCTTTTTCAGATGTCTTTTTGTTTTTTTGATGTCTTTTTCAAAGCCTTTGTCAGAATCAGTGGTATTAGTAGTCATGCATAGTTGTGCCAAGAAGATTTTTAAATAAAACTAAATTATTTTATCTATTACTCCATCAATAACAATAAATAAAGAAATAAGTTGTCATATACTTTGGGACAAGAACACATTTGCATTTGAGCGTTGTTTTGTTTCAGTCCTCATTTGCCACAACAAAGGACCTTTTTAAGAAAAAGATTGTTGACAAAAAGAAATAGTGACCAGTTACAACTGCGATATGCAATATGATGGACCTTCATTAGGCATTAAAAAAATTCTTCAGTGTGGATCGAAAGTAAAATTGAATGATGATACAACAGAAAATATTGACATCAATTACAAAACTACAATATATGATACGTTTAGTGTCTGCAAACAGTTTGTGGTTAAGAAAGAGAAACCCTGAGTTACAGTACCTAATACACACACACACACACACACACACACACATGTTGTGTTTACATGCTTTATGGGAACGTTCCATAGGCGTAATGGTTTTTATACTGTACAAACTGTATGTGCTATTGCCCTACACCAACCCTACACCTAAACCTACCCCTTACAGGAAACTTTGAGCATTTTTACTTTCTCAAAAAAAATTTTTTACTTTCTCATTCTGTATGATTTATAAGCTTGTTTCCTCATGGGGACCTCAAAAATGTCCCCACAAGGTCAAAATTTACTAGTATTACTATCCTTGTGGGGACATTTGGTCCCCATAACGTGATAAATACCAGGTACACACACACACACACACACACACAGATAAATATTTCCTTATAAGTAACAATATGTGTTATTTGCCATCCGCTCTATTGCTATTATTGAAGGCCAGGGCCTGCAAATACTTGCAGGACAAGCAACTACTTGGATGAAATTTAAATAACGACGATCTGATTAGCATAATGTATTTACACACACACACACGTTGGTTTTTATGGTTTATGAGGACTCTGCATAGGCGTAATGGTTTTTATACTGTTCAAACCGTATTTTCTATTGCCCTACACCTACCCTACCCCTCATAGGAAACTTTGTGCATTTTTAGATTTTCAATAAAACTCATTCTGAATGATTTATAAGCCTTTTGAATTACGGGGACACTGAAAATGTCCTCATAAATCACCTTCTCGTTGTAATACCTATGGTCATACCCATGTCATTATACAAATTTGTGTCCTCATAAACCACATAAACATGCACACACACACACACACACACACACGCAATAATAATAATAATAATTATTATTATGAAAGTTATACACTTTCTATATTACGTCTCTGGGTTTGCTAGGAGTCAAGGTAGTGGTCAAGTCTGTAAAGGTTAACGACCCCAGCTGTACAACCAGTCTCTGCTGTTGAGAAGTCGGATAGTTTTGACATCCCTTTTTGTTTACTTTTAACTCTCTCATTGTACAACACATTAGGCCTAAAATCAAAACTTTCGGGTTTCCACACGCTCATCCTCACCGAGAGATCTCTTTTCCCTAGTGAATTTTGCAGGCCAACCAATAGTCAATCAAATCTTCCGCTCCTCATTAATATTCAAATACAAGCGTCGTTCCGACGATGTGATTGGCTAGAAAAAAAGCCGGTCGCCTGAGAGTGAGCGGATGATATCACCTGTCAATCTCCAAAAGGGCGGGATTAGCCAAGCCCCGATATATGTAAAAATACCACTCACACGCTCTCAGTGGCTGTTACACGAGCGAAGGGGCTTTTCGAAATATCATATTCAAATCAGTCTCCGGCGAGGGACGGAAGAAGTGCACAGTTTGAACAAATGGAGGAAGATAGCACTGAACAGATGAAACCCCTCCTGACCACAGTAAGCATAAAGTTATTTGTTGTGGTCTCCTCAGATTTGAGTGGTTGCGGGAGCGTTTCTGCGCGCGTTCATTTTAAAGAAAGGAAAGGGACGGGGATGAGGGAAATGGATGCGGACTGGTTTAAAGCATCACTTCCTTTGGGTTGTTAACGACCCAAGAGCTTCCACATGGTCTTAGTGGACTTGATAGGGGTTTGTTTTGAGGTTGTATTGCTGTGGAAATGTGCTTTCATTGTTTTGGGGTGGCCACGCTTCTGCCAGGAAGTGTCGTTCTATCATTGCGTCACAATAACGGTGAAAGACGAGCGCAGTAGACTGTGAATCCCTCTCTCTCGCTGGCACGAAACACACTTTAGAACTTGTGTTCTATGTTTTATTGTCTTTCCTCACAGGAATGTTCTGTTTTGATACAATTTTGAGAAAATATATAAGCATTAAAGCAAGAGTTTGGTGTTTATTCTGTCTTTATGTATTTAGTTTTTTTGCTTACATGATTTGCTATTTAAAAATAGAAATGTGTCCACAGTTTTTATCTGTTACCATTTTTCAAATGACTTTCTGATCTATAAATAAAAAAATGTCGTAACATCCTCTTGGATATAAACACTTGACACTGAAGTCCACTCATTTTTATCAGTTTGTTTATTTTATCAACCTAGTTAACATGAATTTGTGTTGTAAACAATTGATGATTCTTTCTCTCTCTCTCTCTGGCTATTATTATTTACATAAGTATGTATAAGTAAGTGCCCTTTCATCTGTCCCTCTCTTTCAGTCTTCAGAAGCTTCATTTCCATGTAGTCATAACGTCTTAAAGGCACAACATGTAAGATTTTTTAATTAAAATATCCAAAAACCACTAGAACAGTGTTATATATTTTGCTGACTTGTGTACTTGCGTTATCCCAAATGTTTCGAAGAATGTTTAAATCCAGAGAAATAAGCAATTTTAACTAGTGACTCGGACCGTGTCCATAGTGTCATTGTGTCGCCTGCCAATGACGTCATAACGATAATCCGATTTTTTGTTTTGTAGAAAACATGGAAACACCAAAGACGCTTTAATATGTTGTGCGTTTTAATAGACTGGTGACGACCGCACAGAGTAGCAGTGTTTCAAAACAGTCAATCCACAGTCAAATGCACACGGCCTGCATAAAGTTGCTGTGATTTTTCGCGAACCGTTGTGACTTCCGTAAAAAGGTGAAGTCCGAACTACTCAGTCACCACCCCGAGCACTGCCCACAGTCCCACTCTCCTTTTACCAAGCCCCCAGACAACATCACGTCCATGCCATTGCTGAGCAACAACAACACGGGAACATGTCGAGAAAATGCTGTTCAGTCTGGATGTCAGGAAACTACATCATTGCACTGTAGGGCTGTGACGGTCGCCGTGACAACCGCATCAACCTTTGTCTATTGCCACCCAGGGTAGTGTACGTGATGTCACACACTGTATAACAAGCATAATACAAAGTT